ATGATGATGATGATGATGATGATGAGGATTATGATGACAACGACGACGACGATGATGATGATGATATCGTAATGTGTGGCGGTGGCGGCGGTAGCGAATGTCAGAAAATTTACTTTATCAACTCAGTAAAACTGATACTTATTATATAATACTCGTATTTGAACAATAAAACAAGATTTTGCAGAATATAGTAATTAGATAACATAACGAGCCATACGTCAGTTGTACTACCTGTTGGTGTGGTTGTTATTGGCAGTGGCGTCGTTGGTAGAATTGTGGTCAAATTACAAGGACAACACACTCTAATTTCATAGTTGTAGCAACCTACTCCAGAATTATCCCTATTCAGACACATCAATCCTTCATTAGTGTTGCAGGTTACGTGTTGACCAGTACTTTGGTATGGAATTTTGAAGTTTTTTTCTCTACATTCAATTTCATAGGGCATTCTGCAGACTCGATAATCTATCCTGATGTTTTCCAAAATCTCAAAATCACCACCATTGTTAGGACTGGACTTCCACGTGTCTATCCACTCACTCCAGCATCCATCGCAGGGAGCTTTTCAGATCAGAAATAGGTTTAATAAATTATGAATTTAGATTAAATAAATCAGACTTTGTTTACGCGCGCTTTATAACCGCATGAAAATGGCGCATTACTAAATGCCCATACCAATACCAGTACCAGTACTGTTGCCTTTTGTATTTTAATTTTAATTTACTATTTAATATACCCCAACATGTCCTACAAATTTATCATAAATGTAAATAATGCATTTCTGCTCATTGTTTATTTTATGCTTACATAAACATCTGTATTATTTTCAGTGAAACAATACCTTTTTAAAACTTACATTCTGTAGTAGGTGTTGGGGTCTTGGATGTTGGTGTTGTTGATATAGTCGTAATAGTTCCTGGTATTGTTAGTATCGTGGTTAGTGGCTCTAAAATGCAATGAAGGAAACAACACAACACTAGCAAAATTCGTTTTTTAAAATGCCATTTAAATTTTGTTATAAATATTATTAAGTAGGCCTGTAAGTGCACTCTGGAGACGTTATCCATGATTCATAAATTTATTTTATTATAATATATGGAGCCTAATCTCGATAACTATTAACATATAATATAACAATAGTAACAAAGATATACAGAGACAAATTGAATCTGTTGTCGGATTCAAAAACATGGTGTGACTTATGGATTTAAATTTCAATATGCCAACAACAAAATACATACGATATACACAATATTACCACCAATAAAGTTTGCTAATGAATGAATCTGTGCTTGATAATGTTTTCGATCATTTGTCTAAAAAATACCTGCACTTGTCGGTGGTGTCGTACTGTGCCCTGAAGTTGTAATAATTGATGGGGTTGGTAGTGTCGTGCTTATTGAGCCTAAAATCCATGGAAAAGAAATTAAATATATAGTTCAAATTGGTTTTTGATGTTTTTAAATTGTGAACATATAAATAATTTTATTTATAATAGTACCGGTATTATATATTATTATCATCATAAAAATGCAATCATTCAATACTTCGTTATACACGCATATAAATATATATATATATATATATAACATAAATCAAGAAAGCCTTTATATATATATATATATATATTATATATATATATATATATATATTATATGTATATATCCATAATGTGTTACCACAATAACCCTTTCAAATTCTTCCATAGACTATTTGTGTGTGAGGTATCGGTACTTAGTTGTGGTGGATTATTATTTTTGTAGAACTGGATATACTATCCATAAAATGTACAAAGTTGTGTTTACCTCGACACAGAGACATTTTATAAAAAGAAAAGCAAAGAAAGCCGTTTTAGCTATTTTATAATATAAAATATATAAATAAAGAATTGGTCATGATAAACCTCGGATGTTATGGTATTTACAACACATGTATATATACATGTATATATAGGCTGAAATGTGTACGGTATATATTGCACAGATCCATTTCAGAAAGAATTATTATTGGCAAGGACGTCGATCCGTGGATAAAAGTGAAGGCGGGGGGGGGGGCGAATTGCAAAATATGGAAGTCTTGGGCCGTATGGCCCCGGTGGAAGGGTGGTCTTGGGGGAGAAGCCCTTGGAAGCTCTGGCTTCAATAGCCTTTTATAAGTCGTATCTAATTGATTTTAAGGAATGCAATTGACATTATTTCCATTTTTCAAAATACAGGAATTCGAAATAGAGGGGGCCCGGGAAGGGACCTTTAGAGATGGAGCTTAGACCACCTCAGCCCCACCATGGTAACAAAATTTATGATTATAGCACCTCTAGTTGGCCGAAAATGGCACTCTCAGAATTAAATTATAATATAATACAAAAGGAATAAATCGTTTATAGTAGAAATTGCGCACTTTTTAGTTTGTAAAAACGTTGCCTAATAGGTTTACACGCTTCCAATTTCAACAACGTACAGTACATTATTTTCATAATAAATTTAGCCTCTGATAGCCATTGCACCCATAAAATCGATGGAGTGGTTAATTTACTGAGATGGTTACGAAATGTACAAACAATTGCCTTTTTTCTCGGTTTTGGTCCGGAAGTATGAACCGCACTTGGAACAGAGCACAAGTGAACAGACAAAATTCATGACAGTCATTCGTGTTGTTCTTTCCACTCGCTTTGAAAATGGGGTTTTAACTATAGATTGGTGAAAAGTGGGGGGGGGGGAACAATTGATATGATGTCCCCCTCCCCAACTTACAAACAAGTTGGAACGTGTCCCCCACCAATCGACGCCCATGGTTATTGGATTCAGAATATGCCATGCATGGAAAGTAGACTTGGTTATGGATGTTTATTAAAAAAAATATTCACATTATACCATGTACCTATCTATAATGATGGGTGAGAGGATAAGGTATATAATGTGCCTTGCCCTTCACAAGCCTTGTGGCCAGTGTTTTTTACTCACGACCCCGAATAAAAATCTTGCTGCTGAGTCGCACGCCTTCCATACATGTACGGATCGGGGAACACATGCGGTATGCAAAAATACTTACTTGTTTTTGTCACTGTTGTGGTAGTGCAAGTGCATTCTGATCGGCACTCATCTATTGGTACACATCGACTGCTGGTCGGATCAAGCACATGACCATCATCGCATTCGCATCCTTCAACGCATCCATCAATTTCACATTCATTGTCACAGCAATAATTGTCACAGGTTTTTGGACAAGGAGTCGTGCAGGGCGCCCATTGGCCACATCCATCGCATTGCATTGCTATACAGTATTACATTCCATAAATAAAAATACAATTAGTAATGTACATTTTACTCGACAAGGTGTCATTACAGAAATAAATTCATGCTTGAATTCGCATAATTATTTAAACCTTAAAGTACAAGAACAATTTATCTCAATAGATCGTCCTTTGACTAACATAAATTAGAAATACAATATACATTAATGTGCACTGTTAATTATTATTAGAGCTATCACTTACGGCAATGTTCATTGGATCGCCAGTCGACCTCAATACCATGTAGTACACAATCGTGTGCATACGCTTTGATTGCAGTACACAAGCACTCACAGTCTCCACCGAAGTCACATCCACATGCATCGTACACACATCTCTGGTAATAGTTTTCATAAGGAACCTCAAAATGACAAGCCTGGAATATGTCTGACTTGATAATTGCACACTTCTTAACAGCCCATGCCTCTCTATGTGGTACTAAAGAACAAGTGTTGTTGATCTCTTGTGTCAGTGGACAAGACTGTCGCACCTTCCAACTGTCTCCAAATTCAGTGGCTGTGGCAACTGGTGGTCCGCCAGAAGATGTAACAAAATCATTCACATGATCACTGTCGAAGTTGCCACAAAGACCAGTTACCTGGTAATACATTAAAACACAGTTATTTCGGCAAAATTTCTTGCTAATTTAATTTATTTTACTGACGTAGTTTACTATACTAGAATAATACATTTTACGGGACCATTTTTTGATAGGTTCAATATAGCTTTTGAGACAAGTGAAAGTTCACTATACTGGCAGACAGTTATTTAAAACATTAAAACTGTATATAAGGGCCTATATACATATAAATGTATGGGGACTACAACAGTCACTCCTTTGTTTGCAAATGTATATATCATGCATCAAGGGAACGAGTGACTGTTATTGAGAAGGAATTTAGCAGGGTGCATTCGTCGTCGAACATCTAGTAAGCTATTACTAAATGATCAATTTTCAAAATGTTACGTACATTTTTACTATGTTCTGGACTAAGTCTTATGTACATTAATGTACCCCTGTCCCACTGCAACGTAACTCCTTCGGGAATTGTGATGAAGATGTAGTTTCCAATATCATGCATATGGAAATGTGAATTCCTCGGGAGTTCAAGAGTTTTTCCACGAACCAACTCAACAGTTTCTTTATCGACACCAGATCCAACGTTGAAAATTATGGATTTTGTACAGGTTACGCCAGTGGATCCACATAAGATGTTTTGAGACTTAATGGAGAATTCGATATGCGAATCAGACGTACTCTGAACCATGGTGTATGTACACTCTCCTTGGAACTCAAATTGTCTAGAGTCAAATGATGTGTAATGTGATTCGCCATAGACAGTACATAAGCCTGCAAATGTAGATATTAAACATGCTAGTATTTACTTTTTTCATATTTATAAATAAACTTTCACATCAAACTGATATCTATTAATTGACAATTATTTTTATCGACTAAGATAGATAAGATAGCCTTATTCTCAATATTTAGCATGCTCTACTAACAAAACATAATTATTCATTATTAATAGAATATGTTTGATTTGATTTTATTAAGTAATGTCACAACAAAACGCTGAAATTTACCTGGGCAGGTTTTTGTTTCACATTCCCATTTTCGACCATTGCAGACACTATGGAACAAAACGTTTAAGATTTATGTTGTAACAGGAGTACAACAAATAAGTATCAATTGTTGGATCAGAAAAATATAGGTAATGCCACAAAATAATATATATACACATTTATTTTGAAATTATTTAAGATAAACTGTCTGTAATGAGCTGAAAATTATTAATTTAATTGGTTTAAATCAGTTGTTCAATGTCTAAATTGTGATTTGTATATACATATTTTGTAATTGGCGGTATCTTTTTACAATCTAAACAACTAAAATAGCACCCCTCTTTAATGTTTAGGGTTTGCCATTGCTGCAGTTGCGCAACTAGGTACGGGAAGGAATTCTCGAATAGTAAACATGCGAAGAATATTATTATGAAAGGGCTTAGGTCAAGGGGGATGTAGGGGAATTTGTACCATTGGTTGCAATCCATCATGATTGTTTCCCAATTCCGGTAGCTCCTGTCTCCATGGTAACAAGGACAATCCTCTTTTCTAACGCATTGATCACCTGAGAATTATCGATCACAATATATTAAAATTCTTTCGAAATAAAACAACAATCATATTTTGCATTCATCATCCGGGTTGTACTCTGGATTATTCTATATGCTGTTTATTATTTGTAATGTGCATAGAGGTAGTCAGATCAGTATGCATTTTATATTCACAATATAACTTCCTCAATTTGAATGGATTACTAAGCAAGAAAGGCTAGCTAAGTTGCAGCGGAAACATTTCAGACAAGACGAGTCCTCCATCAGTGACATTTGATATACATACATATATTTATATATTTATACGCACTTATGTTTGTGTTATTGGGTGTGTGTAGCTACATACCGTCAAAGACGAAGTCCCCGACACACTGACAGCCAGGCTCGCACTTTACAGTATTACATGCTGCATCTATTTCATCTAGGTTTACACAGGTCAGAGGACATGGTTCACGGCATTCGGCAAACTCCATATTTTCCCCGCATACTGGTTCATCAGGAGAGCAAGTATTCTCCGTGCATTGCCAAATACCATTATTACACTTGCTGAAATGTCAATGTAGAATCATGTTATCTATAATAAATAGATATTTTTATTAAATTAGGCCAATTGGTCATGTATCATTTTAGTTAGCTTGTAATAATAGTTATTTTATCCATATTAATACAACGTCTCATAATTCAAAGTACTAATTCCGTTTTGTGCATTCTGCCTTTAATCTCAGTTTCCTTAAGGCATGCTAGGCGTACGTATCTGCTTTTGTTATGATGACGCAGAAGTGTTTGTTTCTCTAATGGTTGGGATATTTGTATATCAGTTTTTCAAAAATTTTGATCCAAAAATCAGGTCCATGTAATTCATTTCATTTAGGTTTTGGCCTAGTGTTAATTTAATCTTTCACTAGAGTAATCAACTAATCTAGAATTTGACATACCAACTCTGACATCCTTGTCTAATATTTTCCCCCGGGTTGTAATACCGGCCGTTGTATTCACATGGGCAGCTGCTGAAAGCTATACAGCGGCCATATTGGTCAAGTACTTGCCCATTCGGACAACTACATCCTGCGATACATTCCTCTTGACAAGACACTTTTGCAGTAAGAGCAGCACAGCTTGTTTCACATGCTGACCCACACTCCTGGTAGATTTGATCTCCTTCGCATACAATTGCTAGACGTTTGAATAATCAGAATAATGTTATTGATGATAGGCCTATATAGATTTCAATTTTTTGCTTATAATTGAAATTGAAGACCTCCGGTTTTTACTTGATTTTACTAAAATAATGATGAGGTTAACAAATATAAAAGAACTCACCACATTCGGTTATCTGTGACCGCCAATCAATCGGGGTCCCCATTTTTGCACACGCATCAGCGTAGACGGCTAAACTTGCACAGAACATATTAACGTCTGTGTTAGCACAAACGTCGTACTTACAGTCTTCGAAGTATTGATCCACTCCAACAACGTGATGACAAGCTAAAAGATAATGATACATTTAACATATTTTCAGGTTTGATTGACAACATTTTATTTTTCAGAATTAAAATTTACAATCGCATGATATTTTATTTTAAAACAATTTAACAGATATGTTCTATTGCCATCTCACCATCGAAAGGGGCCGCCTTCAAGATTGTACAGGTTTGCTGGGCCATTAGTTTTCGGTGCGAAAAGATATCACAAGGACTTGCAGCGTCCAGAGTGTTTGATATCGCTGGACAGGAGCCCTCTATTACCCACTTGGCCGCAAAACTTGAAGGTTGTTTTTCGATATCTCCAGCTCTCGTCCTGAAGTCAGTCTGGAGATATTGAAAATGTACAAAATAATTAAATAGATAATACGATAAAACGATAATGATAACAATTTGATGTGATTTTATGTTATTTTAAGCTGTTATTACTGTAAATGCAAATTAATTTTGTAATGACAATTAAAACACACCAGTAATGACATAGGCCTAATAACGCTCTACCACTAAGAATCTTAAGCATAATTTTACATTCGAAAAGCAAATCCGGAAAATTACATATAGAAGACTTGAAAGTGAAAGTTAGATACAAATAAGAAGTCGAAGACAAAAACTTTATACATTAAGACACCAACCTCATTCAGTAAGACAATTTTCAAGTTATTACGATGTGAGTTTCCTTCAGGAAATCATAAGAGCGATGTTTTGCTCTTTGCTGACCTATTATCGTACTGAATACCCAGTATGTTCCCAAATACTTGCGAAAAGAAATTCGCAAGTGATTCGGGTGGGAATCACATGCGAATTTTTTCGCAAGTATTTGAGAATTGTTTAAATATTCGGTACGATAATACGTCAGGTAGGTCAAAACATCACTCTGATGCTCAAGTTGCTATCAAGGGCTACTTAGTGATATTAAAACATAATCCGGTATGGAAATAATAGAAATAACAATGAGTCGCACTAAATTTTAAAATAATTTTGTTTAAATAGACTTTGAATATAATGAAGTCTGATATGAACAATCCAAATCCAAAAATATTCTCCGGGGTTTTTTTTTGTTTTGTTTTGTTTTGTTTATTGTTTGATTTTTTTTTCTCAGTCGGATGAATTGTGGCCGACGGTGAGAGGGTTGAGCTATCCGACGAGGGAATTAAGGAAATTTAGATTTTAAACCTAAAAACAAACTAAATGTAGCCATACATCTTTTAGTTTTTATTTGTTAAAAAATATTTTAAAATGGCGCTTTAACTTACTCCTTGTTTACGATCGAATGTGCCACACAGGCCGCACGTTTTAAGATCCCCGAAAAAGCTTGATGGCGCTGTAACATATACTCGCACAAAGCCGTCCCATAAAACTATGAAACCATTGTCTAATATGACCTAAAATCAGAAAAAAAAAATCAGTTCAAAGAGACGTTATTCATCAAACTGTATATCTATACCTGACCGTTTATACACATCTAGATGTGTATAAGAGACAGGCTACATACCGTCAAAGACGAAGTCCCCAACACACTGACAGCCAGGCTCGCACTTTACAGTATTACATGCTGCATCTATTTCATCTAGGTTTGCACAGGTCAGAGGACATGGTTCACGGCATTCGGCAAACTCCATATTTTCCCCGCATACTGGTTCATCAGGAGAGCAAGTATTCTCCGTGCATTGCCAAATACCATTATCACACTTGCTGAAATGTCAATGTAGAATCATGTTATCTATAATAAATAGATATTTTTATTAAATTAGGCCAATAAATGTGACATTTAGAGTTTACCCTTTGGTATATGGATGATAATTGTTCAATAAAGACTCCGGGTGCAGAGTGCGGTAGCTCATCTATGTCTTCTCCATTCACCGATACAATGTGATTCTGTCTCATTTTTACCCGTGTTGCTCCCACGTTGACTATCACATACCTACAAAAAAGATTAAATGAGAAAAGGAAGAGAATGAATTACTGGATGACATAAAAAGAAAGATTGGTGTAAATTTGAAAATAGATATACAATGAAAACGATTGTTGACAACTAAAAAATACTGCCCTCTATTTAGTGGTTTTCTTACAGGTTGAATTGCGCGAAGAACCACTCTCGTGGTGGATACCGGTGCCAGAAATCGTTATTTATTATTTTCACTATATTATTATAATATTCTATTTCCTCAAAATAAAGCATGAAAACGTTCTAATTTTGACATAGTGACTTACTTGGTACATGAGTAACCTTGGAGTCCACATTTTGTATTTTCCACCTGGATTGAGTAATCTGTATTAAGACCATCACAGCTCTCTACAAGAACATAACTACAGTCTCCAACGAAGTTATAATGCTGTCCATCGAATGTCACATAATGAGGGTCGCCAACAGCAGAGCATGTTGCTTGGCAAATAGTGTCTGTACAATCCCAGTTACCCCCGTCACAAACGCTGGAATGAATTGGGAAAATACAATGATAAGAAATACAACAGTTGTATCTAGCCGTGTAGATTGCCTACATAAATCGTTCTAAGAGCTAACAGCTAACTGATTCAGCAGAATTAGTCTTAAACCTAATATTTTATACTCTTTGAATTTTGTGTCGCAGATCCCAGAAAATACGCAAATTTCACGTAACTTTACTAGGTTGCAAGGGACATGGCGCCAGGATTTTGCCAGGGATCCAATGTCCCCGACGCTGGGACCGATGTCCCTAACAAGAGCGTAAATAGGTGTCTCCCCTCCATCCCCCTCCCCTACTCGGCTGCTGGCGCCATCCCTGATAGCGTGGTTGGGAAAACTGAATTTACCAGACTTCTTGTCTTGGGGCATCAACCTCTAGGCTTAATGGGTAGAATTTTATCTGTTCAATCTGGTTTCCTTAAAATCGCAGCTACACTGTCGCTACAGTGTTTTTTAGTGCAATCGTTGTACTGCGTAAAGCCTGGTTTCTAAAAAAAGCGCTACACGCTATCGCTGACTCCTTTGACGACGTTGATTGGTCAGTCGAATCAGGGAGGTTCTCAATTGCGGTGGCACAGCTACGCAGTGCAAGGATTGCAATGAAAACGCCAGTAGCGTCTGTGTAGCGATTGTATAGAAACTAAGCTTAGCAGTAACCGACGCAATCGGGAAGGCTCCCGATTCGACCGACGGATAAGCACCGAAAGCTGTGGGCGAGAGTGTGTAACGATTGTATGGAAACACCAAGCTTTAAACCAGTACCAAATTGTTTAGTTAATGTCAGACATTTGTTAGGATAAGTTGAACTGTATCAATCATTGGCCCTAGTTGAATAGGTACAATTAACACGTTTTTACTAACCATTGATGCCCATTGCACAGCTATATCAATCAACACTGTTTTTTTTTCATTAAATTTAGAATATTATATATGACTATAACCATACCTACCGGTAGTGACCTGCCCAGAGTGAGCCAATTGTTAATGTTAAAAATCTGATATTTTTACAATTTTTCTTCACTTTTTGTAACAATGTTGGATAATAATTTGCTCATAAGCTTTGACGAATGTATATTTAGTATTGTATTTGCTACAGTAGGCTAACTTGATAAATTTAATATTCACTAGTTTTTTTTCCCAATAATCTTGCATGATTAGATAATAACAATAGACAACAATAAAGTAAACTGACAATTAGTTTTCATTAATGTTCCTATGAACAAACGAGTGTTAATGAAAATTAAAAGCCAATAAATTTAATTGAACAGCATATAGATATGCCGAATTACCATGTGTTGCAGCCGTTGTCAATAGAAATGGTTGATCCAGCTGAATATTCTCTCTTTTGGTAAGTGCATGGGCATTGGGAAGGTTCTACGCATGCGTTGTTATTAAGAACCAGGTTATCTGGACAATGGCATCCGTCAATGCAATGGTCGTCAATACAATCATAAGTAGTACTCTTGCAAGTCAAAGGACACGATGTGCCACACTGTTTATAAACCATCTGAGATGGACAAGACAGCGCTGTTGACAATAATATGTAGCTATATTAAACACGTATGCCAAATTGTCCATTACAATAAAAATAAAGTTTAGACACTGTGAATCAGGGACTTCCCTTCTGTAAGTTATGTTAATAAGTAATCATTGTTTCATATTGAGAATAAAGTAATCATACATTCTTTGCATGCATAGACCTATCTCTTTATTTATCTAAATTGTTGTGCAAGCTCTACCACTATTCTACAGTGTATTGAGCACTGTTTTTTGATCAATTGAACTTTTTGACTTATGCTAAATAATGATAGTAAATAATAACAAAACGTGATAATAATAACATACTCATATAGCAATACTCGCTCCGTTTACTGTTACCATATTATGTCTATAGAAAATTATGTCAAAACAGTCCACAAAGCTAAGTAATGTCCGGATTTCTATCAAATTAATTAGAGCAATAAAATTATATTTACGACATCGTTCCTGTGTTCTCCACTCCACAAAAACTTGCTTCCTTGCGCACTCCCTGGCGTATGCCTCGTATGCATTACAAGCACAGTCAGACCGTGATAAATCACAATTGCAGACGTCTTCTCTACAAGCGTCGTAATAAGGCTTGAAATTTACAAGCTGAAAATTGAAATATATAAACCATAAAATGAAGAAAATAATGAATAAAGAAAAGATAGACACTGACAAAATTAGTATGGATCAAATTGCCCACGAACGTAGGCATATATGTGTTTATATATAGACTTTCTGTTTGAAAACACTAGCGGTTGTGTAGATTATAAGGTTTTACATTACAAACAAAAAAAGCATTACCTAACGATTTGTTTGACTTACCAGATGACATGCGCTAAACTCAGCCCCCGATCTGATTGGTTCACAAAGGTTTAAAGCTCTATCAGAACGTTCAATATCATGTGATGTGACCAACTTACAGTAAGAAGCTTGACTCATTGCTACACAATCTACCGAAATCAGAAATATTCAATATTTTCTACTCATCAAGAGAAACTGTTGAAGATGTAAAAACCCTAAAATACTGCATAAAAATAACAGCAGTTTACTTTAGTTACTTACCCTCTGGGTTCATGGTGTATTCAGAAGCAAAAGATGTCGGTGATTGTGAGATGGTGCCATCTCGCATCATAAGGTCATCTTCTGGATCATCGGTGTACGTTCCACAGAGACCCTTTGTTTTGGTGAATAACTCATAACCTGCAGTGATGTAAAATGCTTCCTCCCCGTCCCAACGCAGATCGAATCCATAGCTACTGCGCACTATGACATAACTAGATATCATCTCAATTTCCAAGCCATCAAATGCAGTTGGCAGAATTTGAAGCTCAGAATTTCTAAGAACCACTGGAGAATCGTCAGATTTTTGCAGAATTACTTCAACACTGGAGATGTAAATTGCCAACGACCTGCTGCATGCCATCGCTGGAGTGCAGTCGTTGTCATTCATTATATGAATTTGAAAAGTGCTGTCTGCGGCATCATCTAGCAGCAAGTAGTGACAGGAACCATGGAAGCTGTAGATTTTCCCATCAAAGGTTCGGTAATGATCCTGAGACCAAGTAGTACAATACCCATCCGGTTCTTGGTTAATGGCAGATGTACCTGCTATGTGGTATTTAGTAAAAAGATTATTGTATAATAAAAAATTATATCAAATCAAAATCAAATCACAATTTCTTTATTTCTACAATTTCATAACGTAAGAATAAATACAGAACGATATCAAGTAAAAGTAATGAAAACATTTTAAATGATAAAGGATGCCGCATGAAGCAAGAGCTTTTAACACCCCTTAAATCAACTATAAATAAAGATCAAAGTCGAAAAAACTATTTTAAATAAAACAATAAAATTATAACAATGAAACAACAATGGAAGATAACACGGAAACCATCTTAAGAAACTAAACAAGATCACAAATTATACAATTATTAAGGAAGCATCTATTTACGTCTCCCTTATATAATCACATAAGTAAAGGTTTTTGAGTTTTCTTTGAAATATATTCACACTTAACACTAGATCTGATATACCTACATAATATCGTTCCAGGCCTTTGGCCCTTCACTTGATATTCCTTTTTGACCCATAATTGTATTTTTCTTTAGGATATACAGATATCTTTGTTTCTTGTTTCATATGCATGAACAGAGTCATAGGTCTGGAAAAAGTTAATGGCACTTGTCCTTTACTGTACTTTTACATGAATATTGAAATAATTTCAATGCTGTTTTATCAAGGAACAGTGAAATTACACTGTTCCCTAGTTTTATTAATATAAAATAGAAAGTACAGAATTAAGCTTCTTTTAATCAGTCACATCAGTAAACTCACCTGCATCTGGATCTATCGACTTGTTTATTCCAACCGTGGTGGCAGTAAATTCTGGATGCAAAATTTATAGAAAGTGATGAAATGTGTGAATTAAGTTAACATTACATCAAAATGCGTTGACATAGATTACAAGAAATTCAGCTTAATTTTCGAATTTCATAGCTTTCATAATGCACATCATCACTATATAATTCCAGTGTGAAACCTTAACAATGAAAAACAAAGTTGATGAAAAATGTTGTATAGGCCATATGTGTGTTTCTTTGTATTTTCTTTTCGTGTAATAAGTACAATACAGTACAAATGTTAATTAGATAGTAATACGTTATAACGGAGTTAATGACGTTACTTCTTATTATGGATGCCGTTCTTGTAAATGTGTAATCGCGATTATATTTCTTTATTGAAATGATTGACTGATTTTATAGTATAATATTGTTGCACTATGTCTAGACTACAGTATTAAGAATTCAGCTATTAAGTACAAATATACACACTTTTTTGTGTGACCCCTCCCTCTCCTCAAAAGAGTACGGTACATACTAAAGTGACTGTTGTTTTTTGCGATACACTGTTACCCCTCTCCCATAGACTATGTTTTGTACTCTCGTGCAAATAATGAAAATATGGATTACCCTTAATTAAGTGGCATTTTTTTTTATATTAGATAGGCAACCTATCGATTCATCTATTTCGTTATTTGGGTTTAACAATTTAAAGAACATAGAGTTATTATTGACAACAGTTATAATCAAGGGCACATTTCTATTTTGAAAGATGGGGGACAGTCATGAGTCCACACCAACCTATGAACCATCATCAATGAGGTGATGTGCGAACATTTAAAGAAATAGTACCTCTAGATGGCCGAAACGACGCTCTTTCTTTAAAACCTGTGTGATTTATGTAGTTAATTTTAACAGTTTCCATGCATCTTCTTGAAATTACAATGCGGTCGAAAAGTGGGGGAACCAATCCTCCCCTTTAAAATATGTGAGGGGACTTGTCGCCCGTCCCCTATTATCTGCGCCCATGATTTTCCTAAAAACGTTCCTCATTCTTTTACAAAACATACGCTGATGAAGATATACATTAAATACAGTAAACACAGAAAAATATCGTTAATAAATAGTAGTACAGTATTAGTAGGCCTACAGACTATCAATGACATATTCAAATGGGCATATGCTAAATATCACAAGTTCAATTACTTAAATTAGCGTTGTTTTCGCTGGATAAAATATGAAATTTCATACGACTTAACACAAAATAGTAAAGTGATATTTCTTACCTTTCCTCCGTCAGAAACAAGCATGAGAACAAACCATTTATTGGCTGATTTAATCCTATGCACAGATTTTCATTTGGTGCTAAAAAGATAATATAAACAGTATAAATATCAATTATACTTAAACTTACTTTTTCATCTCTGCTGGACGTCTTGCAAAATAGACCTATTCTAAATTGTATTATGGACCTATTAATAATATTAATAGGTCCATGATAGTGTTAGTGTTCTGTTATGAATGAATTCAATTATCCTTTTACCCATGCAGTCAGAGATTTCTGAAGATGGCAACCAAATTCCATCTGAATTATCGCAGTAGAATGTATCATGTGTGTTATCTGGTAGGTTATATCCGGAATCACAGATAAGGTTGCAAATTCTGAAAAGTTAAAAAAGAATTTGAAAAATCCATAAATGTCTCAATTTAATTAACATATGTACCTTGTACTTGGTTATTGAGGATTACTGATTAGTCGATTGATCAACAGGTCAATTTGTAACTCGTTCGCTCGATAGATCGGTTGAACACTTGATCTATCTATTTTGTGACCCTGAGCTTCTTCTATCTATTCTAAATTGTTAAGAGTAAACTTACCTGATGTCTGAGCTTTCTTTACAGCTTAACCCTCCGTTCAAAGGTTGGCGAAGGCTCGCACACAGCTCTATTATAAAAGAGGAGAATACAATATAAAGTAATATATTATGTAACGTCGAACCTCTGTAGTTGTGTGATACATGCATCGTCCTAAATAATTAATTCTAGGACTATGCACATATATTTTGAATCGACATTTGACAAGTTCCTTAACGATAAATAAAGCTACAAATCTGTCTCATCTTACACAAGTCACTATAATTTGTACTGGCCTTCTTAAATATTGTTATATATCAAAGGATTCAAACCATTATATTTCATACTTTTTACAGACCTTTTATTTGAAACTACTAAAATCAGTTAACAGTGAATCATATAGGCCTATGGACCATTGGTGCTTAGAACACCATACTAACATAGATTGTAACTTAAAACAGATATCTGTCTAAAGTTACTGTAAAGCAGAGAATTGTTGAACATAACCTGCAATGTTGGTTGATAACAAAGCCCCTATATCATGAGAATATCTAAAATGATAGGCCTAAGTAAAATACTTTTTGTGACAAAAAACTATGGGAGCGCAGGATTCGTTGAGAAATGTTTTTGTAAACAGTAGGTTAGGCCACCTGATATTGTGTAGAAGATCTACCACTACTAATTGATAAGGTGACCATTAATGGTTAATGTTTTGTGTATTAGAAAGAAGTTTTCTGTTGGGCATCAAGAATGTACCGTACTTTTATGCTGTTGATTTGAATACGAAAAAAAAAACTTATCTTTTCTTGTCTTGTCTTAAAATAGTTTGTTCAATATAAGCCTATTTTGCAAAATTTGAATGTGAATGCTTGTGGAAATATCAACAAGTGTCTTCCTGATTGTTGTCAAATTTAAATTATGCATGTACGGCTATAGTGGGACCCTCCGATCCTCCTTCGTTCTGATGGGGTCTGTTAAATTTCTAATGCTCAAATGTGGATGTGTATTAACATAGCCGGTAGGCATCGTCAAACATAATTTAGAGAGACTCGACCCGACGTTGTTGTATTAAGGTGTTAAAGGACTACCTCTAGATAATCTGAATAATACACAAAATTTACACGATATGAAAATGATAATATAGTTGCCGTACCTGATCGTTTATACACCGCATCAACACTGAGGTCTTCGGTACTAAAGGAAAGACAAAAAAAAAAACCAATTACGGGATCATGCAGCCTTATTTTGGTTTAGAAATTGTTTGTTGTATCAGAAAATACTTAGCACAAAACCAAATGGCTTACCTTCGTACTCTAATGTCTCCAGATGCCATTTTCGTAGAAGAATGTACCGTTAGAATAGTTACCAGAACGCGCAAAAGCGCCATTGTATAGTTACTTCTACCGTGTGTAGTTGCCTTTACTTATTTCTTGCAATCAATTTCGTAAGTTGTAGACCTATAACTAAACCGAGAATAACCACATGTGGTTTGGTTCCTCTCCTCTTATAGAAGTTTCAAAACAAAGGTTACACATTTTAGGTCTACAGATGTTCACTATATTGACATGACTTTCGCAAATAAATACTTGGAAACACATGACAGCCAGCTCCACAAACACTCAATGCGTATCATACTGCTCATATTCATCGATTTAAATTTTTATTTCTTTGGCAAATAAGAGGCCTACAGTTTACAGGTGCAAGATACAGTCTCCGGATGTTGAGAGACCGAGTATTGTTGTGTCACAAAGAAATGCATACCAATGTAACAGAGAAAAATATGTTATGGGGACACCTTCAGGACCAAAAGTGTCCCCTTAATAGAGGTTCAATTGTATTGATTTGACCCGTCCCTTCAATAGGGGTGTCCCAAAGGAGGAGTTCTACTGTATTGCAAAGGTCGTGATGAACTAATTATTTTTTAAGATCACATTTTCCTTAGTTACTTTATTTATGAGAGACTAGTATGTTACTCGTGAGTGTAATAAGCAAAATAATACAAAGGGTACGGTTGGGGCAACTGATTTTTCACACTCGCAAATACATCTTTAACGTTGTTACTGATAAAAAACTACTGTTTTCTGAAAGTGTTAGTTCTCGATTTAGCTTTTACTTAATAATTTTCCAGTTTTATATACATAATATATATATATATACACATACATACATAAATACATACATACATACATATATAATATATATATACATATATATACACACATATATATACAGTATATATATATATATATAAATATATGTGTTTGTATATATATATGTATATATATTATATGCATGCATGCATTACATTGAACAGGTTTATATATATATATATATATATATATATATACATATTGATACATT